ATTACTTAATGTTTGTAAAATGACAGTTCTTTGGAAAATAGGCAAAGTATTCTATACTTAGTAATAGGTATTCTAATACTGTAAATATTTAAGAAATGAAGATGGGCAACATCTAAATTACAAACCAATATCAATAAATAGTATGATGGCTTAGACACTTGAAAATGCAATCAGACTTGCATGGATAAACCCGGAAAGTAATATCATGCTAATTGGTAAACAGTTTAGATTTTCTCCGGGGAAGCCCCTTGTATGGGCCAACAGGCCTTCTGCAGTTACCTGTGTTCTTAAGCCATGTGTATCAAACTTACCCAGTTTCAATGGCAGTGGGACTAATACCATACAGCCGGTCGGCCGAGCGGACAGCATGCTGGACTTGTGATCCTGTGGTCCTGAGTTCGATCCCAGGCGCCGGCTAGAAACAATGGGCAGAGTTTCTTTCACCCTATGCCCCTGTTACCTAGCAGTAAAATAGGTACTTGGGTGTAAGTCAGCTGTCACGGGCAGCTTCCTGGGGGTGGAGGCCTGGTCGAGGACCGGGCCGCGGGGACACTAAAAGCCCCGAAATCATCTCAAGATAACCTCAAGATACAGGAAAAAAAAAGATGAATGCACAAACTGAATATATGTCGACTTGGAAATTTATTTGTCAGGCTCCCATTCAAAAGCCTGGTTTGGAAATTGGAAGGCCTGGGAGTCATGCAAGGAAGGCTACTAAAATAGATGCGAATATTTGTAGCAGATTAAATAGCTTACTACTATTAACCTTACCTATCAAACTTGTGGGGAATAACTAGTGAAATGTCACAGGGATCGTTGCTAGCACTAATAATAATTATAATTTAAATTTGTGACTTTCTAGAAGAAATTGTTACATACAAATATATTTTCAGATGCACAAGTATTGAAACAAATGATTTAAACAACTGAAGTTAACAAAAGCTGCTTGAAATTAATGTAAAAAATGGCATGCAGTGGAGTGTAGAAGGAATTAAATAAGCCCCATGTTGCTGCTTTAAATCTCTGCAACAGAGCTTGTTGAAATTGGATAGGTAATGGGACCTTTGAGCGACTGTTACAAGCAGTACTGTACATCACCACAGGACCATATAAGTGGAATTGAATGTGGCCTGTGCAGGGCTTGCCAGCTTCTAGATAGCATTGATGTACACGGACAGTGCCACAATGACAATTTTTATTACCGTGTTTCCAAAATTAGAATATACAGGAGTATGTTGTGGGCAAACTTGAGAAAGTATGTAGCTTAATTAGAAATAGTTTAAAGGCATGCAGCAAAATGAATCCTTGAACTTTCTTTACTTGAAGATAGAAGAAAATGTGGGTACTAGATGGTGACAAAAAATTACGACAAGGTTATAGGTAATAGTAGTCTTACTACTTGCACCAAACAGAACGAAAGGACAAAGGTGCAAGATCAAGAAAGAGATGTACGAACCTACCTGTTGGAGATTTCGAGGATCAATATCCTCAATGGCTTCCTGATCTGATTAACCAGGCTGTTCGATGCGACTGCTCGCAGCCTGATTCATCAGGTATCCTTTGAAGGTGCTTGTAGAGTTCTCTTTTGAACACTGCGAGAGGTCAGCCAGTTACGTCACATGTGTAGGGAAAGTGTGTTGAAAAGTCCTGGGCCTTTGATGTTGATCGAATTCTGTGTGTGCCTATTGCACTTCTGATTTTCAGTGGCACTATTTTGCACATCCTTCCATGCCTTCTAGTCTCATGTAGTATTATTTCTGTGTGGAGATTTGGAACCAATCCTTCTAATATTTTACAGTTGTAAATTATTATCTACGTCTCCTGCCTATGTTCTAAGAAATAAGAAAGCACTAGTGTCTTTCAAAGTATCATCATTGGTGTGACATTTCTTGTTTGGAAGGTTCTTGTTATCCAACCTGTCATTTTTCTTACAGGTGTGACAGCAACTTTGTTGTGTTCTATAACAGTAATAACCATGTTATGGTTGTTACCATAGAGTAACCACAATACTGTACTACTATATAGTATATAATTACTATATATTACTATAGAGTAACCACTACTTAGCACTGGTTACTTTTAAATCTCTTACATTGATTTTTCTTTCAATAGTGCGGTTTGACTGTGTTACATGTGATTTCTGCGTTAATGTTTTTGTGTTCCATTGGAATACTTGATTAATGTTGGATTGAAGGTTTGCTATGTCCTCTATAGTGTCTACTCTCATGAAAATTCTAGTGTCATCTACAAAGGATGATACATTACTTTAGTTTGTATCCTTGTATATGTCTGATATGAGGATGAGAAAAACTACCAGAGCAAATACAGTATCCTGGAAAACTGAGCATTTCACGGTGGATGATTCAGGTTTTACTTTATAAGGCTATCATACTCTGGGCTCTGTTTGTTAGGAAGTTAAAGATCCATCTTCCTACCTTGCCAGTAATTTCCTTTGTGAGCATGTAGAAAGAGTATCAGAACATACATCTTTACTAATAGAGTAGTTGGTATATGGGACAACCTACAGGAGAATGTTGTGTGTGTCAAAACTGTGGTTAATTTTGTCTATGATGCATTTTTTAAATGAGCTCGGACACCATGAACGTCGTTCTCTTTCTGCAACTATAATTAGAAAATTACAAAGTTGTACACGTGCGCAGAGATTAAATTCATTTTCTGAAAGCACAGGTGCGTACATATGCATACTGTGACGGAGTTCCCCCCCTTATAATTCTCCCACGCCTGCAGTAAGAGTCATGTCTACTTTTCCCAAGCGTTCTCTACGTTGCAGGCTACAATTTGATATATGGGAGAGAGTGAAGTGTTCTCGGAGAGCCGAGAAATTTGTGAAATAGTAATAATTTGGCCTGTGGTTTAGGCCCTTTAGGGAGCCAAGATGGCGCTTGCCTCCCTGATCTCCCGCCAAAACCGTGTGACGTCAGTGGCACCGGATTGGTCACCGACAGCAAGGTGGCACCGGGAGCCAATGAAAACCTCCCGTGGCGAAAGTGACGTCACGATGGAAGGGGGTCCAGGCCGCGCGCCACTCTGGCGTCATCAGTCAGACACGACACGTCATAGAGGTCGGACGTGCGACGGTTGGTCCTGTCAGTTGGACAGTTGTTTCCCGCTCCCGTGGATTTACGCGTCACCTGAAGTCCGCCAGTACTCTGAGAAGTCTTCCCTAGTTCATGTGTTGAACCAGAAGAGGGAATTGACGGTTATTTGAGCAACAAGTGCTCCAGTCAGGTACTGTGCAAGAAGCAGTGAAGCCGTGCAGTGACGTATGTGGCGTCTGTGGCAATTCACCAGTTCGTGACAGCGTAGTGACTGACAGAGCCACTGGGTAGCTGAGGAAGAGAGGACTATTTGGGGAAACCGGACGACTGTAGCCGAGACGTAGGCGACAGCCGTTGCTGGGAGAAGACGACGGCCAGGAGACCGACTCCAACCTTCAAGAAGTCAAGAAGGAGTACGGACCTGCAGTGAGGAGGCACGGAGACGACGCGCTAAACGGTGGGACGACGAGAGGCTCTGGTAGGACACGACGACGTGTAGTGTGGGGGCGTTCCCGACACGAGGACCAGGAGCTACATCTCGACTCTCATCGGAGGATAGGGTGAAGTAGGTGTTTCTAGTTCCCTCCCCATTCCCCTTTAGTTAGCTATATTATTCGGCTATATTATCTAGCCTGAGGATTTTATATGTCGTGGGCAAGTCTCACCCATGTCACGGTAAAGCACCATTGTGCTAGACAGTACTATCAAGAGTACTTGTAATATTCATGTTGATTATTGGTGTGTATAAGCACCAGGAACAAGTGATAAATTTACTGTGTTGTGTATATCTTTCTATAGATTTTGATATGAACATATAGTGGTGAATTATATATAATATTATGCCAGTATTTGAAAGTTAGGCTGTGTGCCCAGAAATCATTTATTTTCCATGTATTGATATTTGATGTATCTACATTATATATGCTATGTTTATGCAGTGATGAGTCATTTGTGAGTACAGTGAATTATTGCGTTATCGCCCACGAGAGAAAGTACTGAAAACTCCAGTGTTAATATTGCATAATATATTGTTGGATGAATAACAGTGTAAAGCCATTACAGTGAGTCATTGTAGCATTGATTGTAGAAAAGACTGTTTGAGCCTGAGTACAGTGTAACCAAGTGATACGTGCTATTGTAGCCAATATCGTGTGTGCGAGTTCATAGTAATATTGGAGAACTTAAAGAAACAGCGCGCGTGAATCTAGAAAACAAGCAAAGCTTCCGCGCGGGAGCCAGGCGATCAGCTGTTCTTGACACTTGATGAGGAGGGGGAGGTGTTGCCACCTAATGATCGCAGACTATTCGTGGGAACTTCCGGCCGCGTCAGGATCCGCTGATTTATTTGTTATTGTTTGGCCTTGTGACATCTTTCATACATTTTAAGTAAAATACAAAACCATCTTTGTGTTTATATCATCTCCTCCATTGATCTTGTGGCTATATTATACTGGTAAGCATAGAGTGATAACAATAAGTACCTGCCTGATCCCTGATCTTTTGAGTGTGACCTTGCCAAGGCTACCACTAATTCCACCAGTCCACTGATGGTGTTACTGGCCACCTAAAACACCAGTTGGCGACCTTGTGGTTAACCGTAGAGCCCGATTGTTGGGGAGGGTACACGACAGTCAAGTGAGCGAGTCGTGTTCTCACTCTTTCTTAATCAGAGGCCGTTAAGATTGACTGGGAGACTCTCCTGGCGTGCAGTGGCGCCGTGAGGATCGAGTGAAGACCCGCAGGGCTACGGTGAGTGACCTTGAGCATAACTATTGCTCACCCCAGAGTAAGGGTAGAGAGGTGAAACCCCAACAATACACAATACAATACAGTACAGTACTCATATTTTGTTAACAGTATTTTTAAGGAAACTCCTTTAAATATGTTGTTGAGATTGAGGTTTTTTGTTTTGTATTTATTAATTGATGGTTATTCTTACAGGGACAAAGTGCGTTTGATGTCGCAGATAGTAGTTTATTACGGTTAATGGATGAACTAAAGAGAAAACAGGCGGCTCTAAAATTAGTAAATCAAAATAAGCAAACACCCAGAAAGCGCAAGTAAGTCCTAGTTTTTCAAATGATGACACACCTACACATGCTCATAAAGTATTGTAAACTTGTGTGTACACTACTTACTTTACATGTGCAACTCCCACATACATATATATTGTAAATACACATGCACACATGATGTTTGCACATGTATATGCTTATTCGTAAACAGTTACTCTCGTGCTCAAACACTGGTATATTATACTTGTGCATAAATTCTTGTTCTTTTATACAATATACAAAGAGTTATGCTTTTGCAGTAACACTGCTCCCATGCACATGTATGCTTCTGTACACATGCCTGCATTCATGTTGATTCAGATGTTTACATTGATAATTGAATATTAATATGTCAACTTGACCAAAAATTTAGTCAATCCCCTTTTTGTTTATTTGAAAATATTATATTTATCAAGAATTACTATTTGGCCATCCACCAAAACTGTGTAATTATTTTTCCTTTAATAATGAAGAACACATGTTTTCAGAACCTCACCCCACCGAGACCACAGTAACAAAAAAGAACGTGAGGATCAGCGCGAATCTGATGGTACGTCTGGTGATGAATCTTCATCTGATGTGGGTGAGTTTTTTCTAGTAGATCTTAGTGTACTAATCGCCACTGAAAAAATCTGTGAAGTTGACAAACATTGAAAAATATACAGCATTGCCTTGTTATCTGGGAGATGTTTTTACTGGAGCCATCAGGAGCTGCCGTGAGCTATAGGCGTTCATTTAGAATGGCCAGCCATAACAGTTGGATCCTTGACTACTTTCATTGCCAAATTAGAGCCCCAGGACCAGAAACTGCCACAGATGAGTGAAGGAAGCATAAGACTTGGAGATGAAGCAAAAATCAGGGTACGCTCCACAAAGTCAAAAGCTTCACCAAGCAAACCAACAATCTTGGTGAAAATAATGAAACCTTATGAAAACACACACACACACACACACTAGTAGTTGGCAGTGAGTAAACAACCCCTGCTCCAATCACCCCTCCTGCCATCACATCACCCAGAGCTCTTGCTAGTTCACCTCTTCATTATTGTGCCTGATTCACAGCCGGTAACATCTCCCTTGTTAGGACTGATATGTTGTTTTTCAGGCCGATTTTCTTATTTTTTCTCAAGAAGGCTATCCATCATAGAGATCTTTCATTATATTACATATGCTGCACAATTGTATCTCAGCCAGTCACAGCATTTTTGTAGTAATTTCCATTGCTCTGGCTTTGACTCTAGGGTTATCTTCCTTAGCACTGGTTAGATTCTCATTTCTGTCCTCCTCTCTCTGTGTGAGAATGCCTTACTTTTTTTTAGTGTGTGCAGATTTGAGTGATATAAAGTGGCCTTTTTCTATACAGGTATGTTGATATTTATGAGGCTTCGTATACCTTTTTCTATGCAGATATATTGATATTTACGAGGCTTCTTATGCTTTTCTTTGTTAGCTGATTAACCAAAACCCGTCCTCTCACTTAATACTGGTACATTGCATTTTTAATGGGATTGACCAGTCCATTAAAAATGTGATGCATTAGTAAAACTGAAAGCTTTGTAATATTGATGTTTTCTTTGCATTTCGGATGGAGTGGTAAATACTAGAGAGAATATGTAGGACAAACAGGGGTTTGGTGTTTAACTACTGACAACACATTCTCTTGCCTGACCACTTCTTAATGGTCTGGGCAGACAGTTCCTGTGTTTTTTGAGGTTTATTTTTTCTGGTAGTTGGAAAGTGATGGATTTGGCTTTTGCCAATTATTTCTGTCTGTTGGGTTGAAGTTTTTTTTCATCCAAATATGTGATGCTTTTGTTTCTAGGCCTATGTGATGAAAGTCTCATCCTTTTGTTTAGCTGTAATTACCTAAGTGTAATTACCTAAATTTCACTTAGGTAATTACAGCTAAACAAAAGGATGAGAAAATGGATGAGAAAAGCTGTGTATGAGCCCGTGGGGTTTCTGCAGTTAGCAGTTCCTGCAGTTTCTTTGCTTTCTGCATTTGGGTTTTGCCGTTTTCCACTCGTTTTGTTGTTGATTCTTGTCAGCTGTCCCTGAATTTTGGCTGAGATGGGGTGCAAACAGCTTGTGTTGACTGTGGTGATTGATGTGCATGTTTAGCAGGCATTCTGTTTGCCATCTCTCTTTCTCTGGGCTTCTTGGTATTACTCCTGGGTGTTGAATGCATGTTTTCTGTTGCATGTTCCATGCTATGCTTGTGTGGTGCATGGGTGTGATGCCACGTGTATGATGGAAAGGCTCATCAGTAGCCCCAGTAGCAACATGCTGGTATGCCTGATAAACCCTCAATATCACACCATGCTCTATATATTCACAATCCCCCTACTAACCAATACCAGAATCTGGTCCAATCAATAGAGAAAAGGAGAGTCTGAGGGGTGTAGGACCACCATGATAAAAGCCTGGTTGTAGGACCACATGGCCAAACTACCGACTCAAAGCATAACTCACCTCGGATAGCAACCTTGGTCATGTGAGGCACTGGGATAGCAATACAGTCATTCATGCACCTGATGTCGCCCTATTCAGTACTTAACTCGGTTCTTCTTTACAGATATGTCTTGGCCTTCCTTTGGACTTGTCCAGAATAGGAACCTGTGTTTTATTCTGTTCCTTTTAGCTTTACATACATGTTTAGTTTATCCTTTGAAGGTACAGTACCTGGATTTAGTGTTCACTGCAGCTACACTGGATGCCCTTAGCACTGCCTCAGCCTTAAGTCAGGAATATCTTTCTTGAGGTTCAGGTGCCCTATCTTGGGACATATGCTCTCGAAGGGCCTCATTCTGGATAGTTCTTGGGCTTTTGCTGCTCTATCAGGGCCAGTAGTTGGGGTGGCTATTTTCATGAAATTTGGCTGAAGATTGTTGAGCTTTTCTTGTTAGGGACATGTTATTGTGGTTTATGACAGATGTATTTGATTTTTTAATTGTGGTGGCAAACTTTTTTTCCTTCACTGCATATTCCTAGGGTGTATTTTGTGAAGAACTTCCAGCCTCTCTTCCAGTCTGTGGTTGGAGGCGACATAAACGCTTGTTAACTAGTCCCAACCACTAGATGCACTCCCTCACCTCCAGATGGCAGCCCTAGCAACTTGGAACTCTTTAAAATAAATAAATATATATATATATATAAAATATAATATAATATGTGTATACTGGCAGCAGGTTTTCATTTATTCATATTTCATTGAATATGCTGCATATTCTGTATTGATTAAGAAACTTGCATCTTGGTTTAATTGGAAGAGGATTTCTCCAAATGTCATTTTTGTTCGAGGTGAAGAAAAATAATTAACTGTAGAATATATTACTTGTTATAAATTTACACAACGTTTCGAACCTACAAGGTAGGGGCCTTGTAGCCTGGTGGATAGCGCGCAGGACTCGTAATTCTGTGGCGCGGGTTCGATTCCCGCACGAGGCAGAAACAAATGGGCAAAGTTTCTTTCACCCTGAATGCCCCTGTTACCTAGCAGTAAATAGGTACCTGGGAGTTAGTCAGCTGTCACGGGCTGCTTCCTGGGGGTGGAGGCCTGGTCGAGGACCGGGCCGCGGGGACACTAAAAAGCCCCGAAATAATCTCAAGATAACCTCAAGATACATGGTTCATTCTCAAGTGAAGGGACAGTTCTAGGTGTATTGGATTTATACCATTAAGGTGGTCAGGTGCATAAAACAGAAAGGTGAGGAGTACATCGTAAAGGGAGAATAGTGCATAAATGGGGGAAAGGATAGGGGACGTAAATAGGGACAAAGCATATACATAGATTAAACAGGTATAGTGTGGCGTGGATTGTTGAGCAGTGTCTTCTATGTTAGTGTCTTCATGTTCTGGTCTTGTTCTTACTCTCATGGTGGGTAACGTGAATAGTTCCGTAATTTGGGTATTTATGGTGGGTTCTATTTTTATGTGGATTGCTTCAAGAATTTGTAATCTTCTTACATCTTGGGTTTTGTTAATTATTCAAGTGTTTTTATTCAATATATCTCTTGTTAGGGTAATGTCATGGGCTTGTCTCGTGTGATTTTTAGTGGCATTTTACTAAAGATGACAGGTCAAACACCTCGTCAGCTTGGTCAACGTTATACCTATGTACTTAGATTGAAGGTTACATCCTTCGTGGAGGCAGGTGTACATATATACCACGTTTGACTGCTGTAATGGGTTCTCTGTCTTCTTCGGGCTGTTTCTGATGAGGGGGTCGGAAGTCTTCTTTGTTCTATAGAATATGATTAGGTCTATGTTCTGGTTAAGAATTATGCTTTTTCCTTCTTTACACTGTCTTTCATTATTCTTTCTTCTTTTTTATGTTCATTGTACATGGTTGATTTGTAATATAATTTGATTGGAGGTGTTGTGGTTTGTTCTTGGTACAGGATTGTACCATTGGTCCAGGTGTTGTCTTATAGCAGTGTTTATTTCTTTGTTGCTATAATCATTGTTCACTAACACGTGAGTTATTCTTTCAAACTCCCTACTCACATTGCTCCATTCAGAGCAGTGGGTAAGAGCTCGACGAATATAAGCTTTAAGAACATTGGCTTTGTATCTTTGTGGGCACTCACTCCTACTGTTTAAGCATAATCCTATGTTTGTAGGCTTAATATACTGTAAATGGTGGTACTCAGAGATGCTCTGTGTTTTTGTTATTAGCACATCCAAAAAAGGCAGACTGTTATTTTCACTATTTTCATGGGTAAAATCGGAGCACTGACTCTAGATGGCTTTTTAGATAAATTAGTTCAGCTGGATCTTTTACTATAACGAATATGTCATCTACATCACCACAGTATACAATTAGTTTTGGCCTACTATATATATACTGTACATATATTTATTTTGTATAAAATTACACTCTAACCTGTGTTGAAAATGACAAGTGCATTGATTGCAGTGTTTGGTTATTAGGTGAGTTGATAATGTTAACAAGAATGCAGTATATTAATTGACAATAATTGTTAGAATTAATATTTTCTTGTTTAGTGATTAACAACAGAGTAGTACTAAAAATTGCAAGTGATGTATTTTGTATTACAAATATATGCATGTTGCATTACTTACACAATTTTGAGCATTTAACTTGGATTATGTAGTCATTAGGCACTAGTAAAAGAAATATGTTGCCGTCACATCTTCTAAAGTTGATTATGGCATATGGCTTTGTCCTTTACATGCTGCTTCTTGAAAATTGGAATACTTCTTCTATTGAAGATGAGGAAAGTAGTGAAGAAACCACCAGTAGTGACAGTAGTGATTCATCAGAGTCAAATAGTGAAGAGGAGGAGGAGGAGGATAAAAATGTTTTTCTTAGATACACTCGTGATCTTAGTCCTCTGAAATACTTAGTTGGTAAGTCATAGATGCTCATGATAATTCACTTTCATTCAGTGTTTTATCTTCAAGGTCTTGAAATCTAATTTGCCTTTTTATTATACTGTGTGGATGTTTAGCCCCAAGTTTATGCTTTGATGAATCAATAAGTATTAAGGTTAATTTTTGCATGACAAATGTCTTGATTGAGTTTTGAGTGTTTTATAATATGTAGCTTTTTTTTAACAAAGTGGTTTTCATTGTGGCTGCCTAGTTTTATACTTTAATTATGCTGATTGTATAATATGGCTTTAGTTGTAGGTAAAGTGAATTTGTGGCAATTTCTTTGATTAGTGAAGTTTTCAGAATGATTAAATTATATATGATTATCATGATTATATTAGTGTTGAAGAGAAGTTTATTATCTACTGGTATGATACTATACATTGTAAATATTTTAATTATAGATAGAGGTAATCAAATGGAAGACTCCAATCTAAGAGAATCTTACCATTAGAATTGCTGAAAAAGAAAGCAGTGCTGATGTATGACTTATGTTGTATAATCTTTTATTATTTTTTACACTTGCAGAGAAGAAGAATAAGGTGAACAAGGAGAATGCCACTCCACAGATCATTCCGACTAGTGTGGTGTCAGACAAGAGCAACAGTCGAACTCTTCCACAAGCTCGAGCAGAAAATACTATGGACGATTCTGAAGTGCAGTCCTGGAGAAGACCTTCATCTCTTAGAAAAACAAACCTTGAAGACAAAAGTAGGTTTTTGCATGATTTGAGGAATATCTTGACGTTCTGGCTTGTTTGATTGTAATTGATTTAATTTCATGCTATTGATGTTTATACAATGTTCCAAGAATTGCATATTTAATTTCTATATTGTACATATAACTTGAAATCCTCTCCGAAGTATGGTAAATGTTCCGTGTTTGTTTAGGCAGTTGCATCTTCCTATGGCTGAATGATTTACTGTTAGGTCCTTACTTTCAAGTACTGTTCAGAGTTTTAAAAATTTATATTGTAGACAGCTAAAGTATATAGACATCTCTCAATTTGAGCATGATTGGAGAAATTGAATTCAGGGATGTGTAGATAAGCACATTTATTGTAAATTTCAAAGTGTATGGGTGAATTTTGATGGTTCACAGGCTTAGCTCACAAAGTGGAAGGTGCATTAAATCATACAGTTTAAATGGCAAATGTGTTTGAGTAAAGAGTAGAATAAGGTGGTGTTTTGAAGGTCTCTGCAACCTTCTGAAAAATGCAAACGTCTCTGCAAACATTGAAAAAAAGTTGAAGAATGATGTAAAATTTTTGAGGAATGTTGAAATTTCATAAAATAGTATATTCAGCACCGTCATGCATAATTTATTATTAAAAGATACCTTGTATGGCATCTGTATTGTGGAAAATTAATTTGCATACATTTTGACAACAAATTTGTAGTTATGGATCAATAACTGAGAAAATGGATAAAGAACATAAATATTTTAGTTATCGCTGAGTGGAACCCCGAGATGTCCGGACCGTTTACGGTCGAGAATGTGCTGAAGGGCGGGAACTTTAAAATGTTAATGAATAGCCAACACTTTACTGAAGCTGAAGCTTAACTGAAGCTAATGCCAAGAAAGGCAACCATTGCATGATGAGCTGCTACTACAGCCGCATAAGATGCATGTCTGGTAGGTAGCCTACTGGAGCTATAAGTTGCTAGGGCTGCCATCTGGTGGTGAGGGAGTGTATCTAGTGGTTGGGACTAGTTAACAAGCATTTATGTAGTGTGTTAGGATTGCCAGTGTTTTCCATGCAGTTGCTTCTTATGGGCGTAACCTACCATTCTGTTTTTTTTTCTTGGCCTAGGTTGATCTAGTATTTCCAGACTTGCTTGGTTTATTGAGTGGACTATATTCTGTTTCTGGTCTCTGGTCTCTGGCAGGTGCATGTGACTCGCAAGAGTTGGTGTGGTTTGTTAGGGTTACGACTAACCAGGCCGGTTAGCCTGGGAGCCCAGGGAGTCACCGAGGGGACCCAACAAAAAGAGGCATTTCGTTGCATTCAATGTTGGATTTTGAATTTTTTGCAAGACTGAATGCAGATTATCAGACTATTTGTGGGTCTTCAGTGTTTTTGGCCATGAAATGGGCTTCCACACACCCTATTTCTTGTTTCTTTTATCTTCATTCATGCATTATTCCCAAGTATTCTTAACTTCTTTGTATACTGTGTGTATGGCTGGAAATAGAGGGAGCATTAAATGTTCAAGTTTGTGCTTTAATGCTAAAAAAGAGTAAAAAGTGGGAAATATGAAAGTTTTGGATTATCTTGAATGTAACCCTATTTACCTAGTATATATTCATGCTTGATATGTCGAGATCAAGCTCTACATGGATTTTCCAGGATCAAAACCACTGTGCAAACCGAGGCGCTCTGATGTGAGACCCTGTAATCAACTTTAGTCCTTTTTTTTTACCATTTTACAGTTTAAAGGCATATAATGACTGACCTAGTATGGTAGTTGAGTTACCTAATGTATATATTCCATCCATTAATTATTGAAGTTACCAAACGGAGGTGGGGCAAGACTTAACATGAGCTTTGGTAAGGGACAGCTCTAAAGTCTGCTGAAAGGACTCATACGATGTTTACAACTGTACACACCTGTGAAAAAAGAAAAGAAAAGAAGTTGGACTTTTAATATTGCTCATCTAACCCTAAAAAAAGTAACAACTGTGGATAACTTTTTCAGTCTGCAAGGATGAGCCTAAGCTGATTCTGAAATCAATAATAATAATAATAATTGGATCATGTATATACCAAAAGGCATATACAGTACATATTTGTTGAACAGCAAGGAATTTGTGCACAAGTTTTCATTTGTGAAGCATTAGTATATCCTTGTGGCTACCCTGTGTAGCTGCGGGGTCGTTGATCCCCGGAGGCTTCACAGGGTAGTCACAAGGATGTACTGGTGCTTCGCAAATGAAATCTTGTGCACAAATTCCTTGCTGTTCAATGAATATGGACAGTATATGTCTTCCAGTATATACATGATCCAATTGATTATTATTATTGATTTCAGTATCAACTTTAAGCTTTAATCTTTGTGGACAGAAAACGATATACGCAGTTGTTAATTTTTATAGGATTAGATGAGCAATATTAAAACCTTTATGTAATGGAATAGAAAGATCAAGAGAGAAATTAGCATATAACATTGAAATCAAGATCTGTATGTTTTGATCTCACCACACCTCACCTTACTAGCTTTAAATACACTTACTGCATTTTTTAGTTATGTACTTTTTCATTTTTTCACTAATTCAGACCAAAAAGAAGAAGTATCTCGAAATATATCAACACGGGTGAACAACAAGGAAAATGACGACAACATTACAGGGAAGAAGGTTGTTCCAGCTGAGAAGGATGAGAGGTAAGTGCAGTTGAATGGTTTGTTACTAAGAATTAATGGAGTAAATATTTGAGTTGTATCTAGTAGAGTGTCTGTATAATTCCAGCAAGTGTTGTATAAGTAGTAAGCAGAGTGTTTAGACAACATGTGGTCAAATAAAAAACTACAGGTTGTGTGTTAATGTAGTGTGATGTCAGGCAGACCAATAATGAATGTCAATTTTCCACTAATCTGGCCCACTATCTTTTGGCTGACAACCTTAATTAAAGATTTTGAGCATCTGTAAAGTAACATTATTTAAATTTTGTTCCTGATAATACAACACTTAAGTGAAGTTAAAATTGTGAATACTAGAAAAGTAGTAAAATTATATAATAGTAACTTAAAGCTAATTAGTGTAGAACAGAAATTATGGCTGCAGCTAATCCTTGTATTTTATTTCACTTTAACAACCCTTCTTTTTCTTCTCCCTCTTTCTCTCTCCTGAAGTTGTGTACTATACTGATTGTTTCAGTATACTGTATAGCCATGATCTTGGTATTAGGTATGATTTATTGGACATACCAATGAAGATAAAATGGTATCCAGAGCCTGTTCTTGTTTATCAGGAATTGAAATGTTTAAAGATACAAGTTTAAATACCCAAGCAATATATTATATATAAATAATTTCTCATGTAGTGGGATAGATGAATTACATAATATTTTTGTGTATATTTGATGCCCTATTTCCTGTGGGATTCTACCATCTTTTAGTAGTTTCTTTTATAAAAAGTTTTTTTCACACATTTTAATTTTCAAATGTTTAACATATGAATTTGTAAAAGATTTGCCAAAGAATTTAATGTACTAGATTGACTTTTATATAAGTGAAAATGTTATTAGTTTCCATATCCATTGCAATGTATGTATGCAAAGCAAAAATGTATTAATGTCAGAGGCACTCGTACATCTACATCGGGAGTGCTTTTGTGGGCTGGTACCAAACCAGTCAAACTGCTACTAATACCTCAGATATCCTGACTAAAAAATAGTGAGAGAATGTATTATGAGTCATTTACCTGCATCTGTTTGCTTGTGAATATTTATATTAAAATAGCACAACCTCTCAACAATAATGTAGAGAAAACAACAAGATGAGAGTATACCTCAGTTGTGGACGATTTGGATAGAAAGCCCTCTATTAAATATAGCAAATACCCAGATCTTGTGCTTATTAAAGGGTAAATAGAGAAAGGTTAAGGTCAGCGAGGTGAACATGCACCTTGGCCAGAGAGGTGAACATGCACCTTGGCCAGAGAGGTGAACATGCACCTTGGCCAGAGAGGTGAACATGCACCTTGGACAGAGAGGTGAACATGCACCTTGGCCAGAGAGGTGAACATGCACCTTGGCCAGAGAGGTGAACATGCACCTTGGCCAGAGAGGTGAACATGCACCTTGGCCAGAGAGGTGAACATGCACCTTGGCCAGAGATGCAAGGGATTGTGCTTTACGGTAATTTGTTTAAGTATTGATTTAGCAAGAGGGTGGCAGTGTTGAATTATCCTTCATTCTGTGTGACGGCTGCAGATTTTATACACCAGCAGTTCGTGATTTGGGAAGGGGGGAAATGACTTCAAAATTCCGATTTAAAGGTATGGACCCTTTCCTCTGAAAAATGCACATAGGCATAGAGAAGCAATATATTACACTGGAGAAATGTCACTGGTGAAGTGACACAAAGTTCAGGTTTAGTGCCAGCAATGTTTATTGTCTTGATAAATGATCTGCCAGAGGGGATTCATAGTTACATTAATATGTTTGCAGATGATGCTAAGTTACTTGGAAGAGAAAAACATGACTGTCATGTCCTTCAAATTGATCTAGTCAAAAGAAGTGAATGGAACAACATATTGCAGATCGAACTTAATATGGAGAAACACCATTTAATAAAATGTTTATTAGTTTAAAACAGAAAACAAAAAATCTACACGTTATATGAATAGGTATTACAGAACTCATACAAATAGAGAGATCTTGGGGTGTTTTGATTGTTCTGGGGCTGTCCTGGATTGTGGCCCTCTGGTCACCAGAGGACATAAAAATCATTGTGAGAGAGAAGCCTATGTTACACTTTAAACTTCAACATTGCTTTTAAATGCATGGATAGGGAAATACTAAAGAAATTGATTACAACATTCATGGGACTGAAGTTGAAGTATGTAGCAGTTGTATGCTGTCCATATCTGTCCATATCCATATATAATGTCCATATACCACATCATAAGCTACATAATAAAAAAAAAGGTTGCAAAGCCATGCTACCATGTAGCTTCCACATCCAGAAAAAGAAAGCTATGAAAAAGACATGAGGCATTAAACATCATGGAGCTTGTAAATAGAAGGCATAGAGGAGATTGATCAGGTTCACATATATTGCAACAGGAGTCAACAAAGTTATAATGGAGTTTTTAAAACCTGCAACATCAAGAACAAGACGGCCACAGATTTAAGTTTAGGAAGCAAATGAGCTGAAAAATATGTCGTGAGAGTTCATTTATATGAACAGAGCTGTAGACAGAATAATTTAAACTAGAAGTAGCGAATGCCAAAACTGTCAGCAGTTTCAAAATGTCATCTGACAGATTATGGGGAAGATGTGACACCATAAACAGTTTTCATTCTGTAACTGCATATGTAATTTTTAAAGTAACAAAGAAAATTTAGGAAATATTCTTTTTGCCCCATCTTCAGACACCTAAAGCCCTTGTGTGGACCTCCCTGAGAGTCCATGGAACACTGGTTAAGAATCCTTGCTGTACACTGTCCTTTAATGTTTCTTTTGATGACTAGTTTAACCACTACAGATTTAATTTCTGAAGCTCATAAATTATTATTCCTGGTTTGTGTGTGTGTGTGATACAAATGTTGGTGTCATGGGCACTTCAGGCTTACACTTATTGATCTTTATATCCAAGTTGTGGGATGTTACTTTGTGGTGTGGTGTGGTGTACACCCTTGCCATGTTGACATTGTTTGGCAAAATACTGCTTCTGACGAGGAGTATTAATTGTTGTGGATATTTTGTGCACAAAGATCTCATTCATTTATCACCATGATAATAGGATGAAATGTGGCAATGAGATTGGCTTCTTTCTCAGGGCTTTTATGATATGTAGTCAGTGGGTCTTTGAAAGTAATTGGCAGTACATAACTGGTTCCTTCCTAAACCTTAAATATCCTGTATCATGGGTATTTGACATGTAGCCCAACTGAGAAATTACAAAAAACAATGAAATAACAGATTTTGAAGAATTGCTGAGTATTTGGTGATGTCACATTTTCAGAAGAGGTTCTCAGATTTTGATAAATATGTATTTATACTTTAATTTTCTGTGATTGCTATTGGAGTATACATCTCTAGATTGTGTCTGAATTATCAGGTATTCAGTCAGTGAGGCTGTTTCATCAGTAATTAATTTAGCTGAAAGCAAACTATATTCTTTATAGATACAATATCATGGGGAGTTTATAAATGAATATATAACTTCCATGACCATCCTGACATCTCTGGCTATGTGACCAAACATTGGCAATATTTGGGTTCATCTGTATGAAAATACTGTACAATCATTTTCATAAAATTGGTGAAACTGAAGCTTAGTCTCCATTAGAGATGCAAGCTTGGAGTCAGAATTAAAATGTGCTCATAACTTAACTGCACCCAGCAGTTCTCTAGTTATTCAGTATGTTTAATTCTTACTGACGTGATCAAAATTCATCAATGACTACCTTTAAGCTTATAACTGTGATTTTGTATAAGTTGATTGATCTGTCTTTTGTCTTGTTTGTTTATTACTGCTTGATAAAACTGTTTTTGAGCAAGGGCCACTGTCAGTCCAAACAAAACAAAAAGTAACTCCCTGAGCAGTGTTTGTGTGTTCTTCAGTTGGGGAGGGAAGACAGTGGAGGTAAAGTTCAATCCAACTGCAAGGAGATAGCTTGCTATTACAAGAATGAGCAAAAACATTCTCTTCCAAGAATTTACTTGAAAACATAAAAAAAGTCCAGTTAAATCTTTTCTTGTTACCCAACAACACTGCCTCAACTTCAAGATTGAGAGAGCCGGCAAGCTTTACTTGTTACCTTATGCCCATCCATGTCTCATCACTGCACTGCAAAGACCAATTTCAGTGAAGTAGTGCGGTTATAGCTTTACACTTCATTGTGTGCAGGGTACTCAAGTGTTTGTTTCAGTGTGTAGCTAGACCTTTATAGGCCTCTGGCTTTTGTTTAACTGCCTCGGCCAAGTTTCGGGGTTTTCTTTTTTTTATCCTTATCGCTAAGAACCATGAGCTCGTCCACCAAAAATACCTTATCTCCAGCTGTCGGACATGCTCCTGGAGTGGTCTGGCTTCTTTTGAATTAGACTAATTTCTTGTTGGTGCCTGAGGACATAGACGTAGTGTTAGACCTTGGTGCTGAGCTTTATATATGGAGCATCTTCGTCATACTAGCTTAGTGTATTCTACCTGCTCCGCTATTTCTTCAATATTTTGTGATAATTATGATTGTATGGTTTTGGTATGTTTATTTGGTCTAGAGAAAGGGTAAAAAAAATGTCATAGTTCACTTGTTTGAGGCAAATTCAGTGTTATTTATAACTCCTGACATTAAATTATTAGAATTATTAGAAACCCGTGTATTAAAGATTTGTCTTGCGTTATAACAATGGTGTGGATGGGTTATTGTATTGAAAATGAAGGGATGGATGATGGACGAGGAAACAGTTTAGTGACATTGAGCAAGAAGATACTGCTGGTTGTCAACCTGCTAGTTCCACATTTCCTCATTGATGACGTATGGCCTTATGCAACACTAAAATTTGCATGTTATGGTTCCCCACATTAATAAGCATTCTGTTCTTAAAATCTTGTTCGTTATTTAAGATGATTCTGTCTGGATAAGTTTATTTGGCCCAGAGAATAATGTAAAACATTATACAGGAGTTGGTCATTTTACTATTCGAGATGCCATTGA